AAACAATAACAATAAAATTATTGCCCACAGTCAGAAAAACCATAACAACCGAACTATTTATCATAAGTCAGCCTAACAATAACAATAAACGAAGTCAGAAAAACAATAACAACTGAACCATTTATCGTAAGTCAGCCTAACAATAACAATAAACGCAGTCAGAAAAACAATAACTACTGAACCATTTATCATAAGTCAGCCTAACAATAACAATAAACGCAGTCAGAAAAACAATAACAACTGAACAATTTATCATAAGTCAGCCTAACAATAACAATAAACGCAGTCAGAAAAACAATAACAACTGAACAATTTATCATAAGTCAGCCTAACAATAACAACAACATGACTGACCACAGGTTCGACGAATAACCAGGCTGATCAGTTAATTAACTTTTAAAATAATATAAAACATAAATTGTATTTAGAACATTTATATTTTCCCGTGGGTCTTTTACCTTACAATTAACAAGGTGTTAAACTAGTAAGGCGGAATCCGCCAAATACAGTGTTTTTACCCGGGGGACGGGCACTGTTAAAAGTATATATTTTCGAAGTCAATTTCATTTCGTTCGGGGGAGGTGGGGGTAGACCCCTGAAGAGATTCCTGAAAGAAACACTGGCCAAATTTATCTAATTGAATTACATTAAAATCACGACATAAACAGGAACTTCTGCTAAATATAGAAAAGGTGATCAAAAAGAAGGATCAAACTACATTGCTAAAAACCACGTGAATAGGAAACAAAAAGAATTGTTATTTCTCAAATTGAACTTGAAACAAAAGCCGTACCTCAAGTTTGTAAGACTTTTTCGCTTCAAAATTCTTTTTTTCTTTAAAAAAAATATTTTTAAGCTTTGCAACATACGATTTGGTTCTAATTTCAGTAATTAGATTAGTTGTTTTTTTTTTTTGAAAAAAAAATTAACACACGCTCTATTTGATATTTATTACGCCTATGCCATTTTCTAAATACAACTTTGTCAAAAAAAAAAACAACTGACATGAAGCAATTTAGTTTTTACTACAGCATTTTTAATTGAATTACGGCAGATAGGGAGTAAAAGGGAAGCAATTCTAAAGCGGTGCGAAGTTACGTCATAACAAGGAAGAGTTACATCCCCTTTGGGAGCCCTGTACGTGTAGGGAAAGATAAGCGATGGAAAACATGGCTAGGTTCTCGGCATGAACATTTTTCTTATAAGTTGCTACAGGGGCGATAACGCTGTTCTAGAAAATTATCCCACAGTGTTTTTAATGCGGCCAAATGTTGTCATGTAGACTAGGATCACGCGACAACGCCCACAATTCAGGTAGACAAATCTTTAATAGGTAAAATTGTGCGGCTAAGTAGATGGTCAGTTTTCAACAACTTATTATCAAATTTCTGAGAATCTGTTATTTTTATAGGGGACAACGGGACCAGAGCTATTTCCTGACCCAATTAATGTCGCATCTGCAAGTGGTCGATCTAATTCAAGCACTTTAAAAAATGTATAGTTTATATAAGGCCACGGTCAGCCGTGGTCATTTTTCGGTCACATGATTGTATTTTAGTAGCCCACCAGAGCAAATTCCTCTGTAAATACCCGATCTAATTCAGGATGTGATTGACATACAGAATCCAATTTGCTTATATATATATATATATATATATATATATATATATATATATATATATATATACCTGAAAAAGAAGTAGCAGAAATAAAACATGCTTCGCCACGTGTTCTAAAATGTACAGCTACAGTAAATATCACACTCTCAAGTACATACCGGTCATTATAATAACCTAAGAACAGTTAATTTATTTCTGTGACCACGGCATATAACGCCGTGGCCATGGTCAATAGGATTATTCAAAGGATTTACGTCCGACACCTAACGACAGCGTGTGTAGAATAATCCGGTGTTTAATGGTTATCCCCATTCAGCCGGTACTTAGCGAGACCACAAAAAGGGAAAGTGCACGCAAGAAGATACTAGTCTAAGCCCACACATATAAGCTAAACGGTGTACTCTCGGAACGGAAGTTCGGAAATTTAAAAAAAAAATAGTGTGATTTTGAAAGCTTTTTTTTTAAAGTACCAAGTTTTACAAAATTAGATACATTTTAAAATACATCGTATACTAGAAATAATGTGAAATGTCTTAATAATGACACTATGGACTACCCGCAACACATATCTTCACATAGTTCCTAGACGTGCATAACATCATTGGCACATACAAGTTAACGGGACTGCATTCCGTTTCCGGCGAGTCGGTTTCCGCACAAGCTTAATCCGCCTAGCGACAGATAACTCGTTAATGAAATGTACAGCCCGGTGGAGTTGTTGCCCTTGGACAAACTCGCGTGGGAAGATAATGCAAATAAGATAAAAGGTAAAAAAAACAGCATCGAATTTCTCTAGATCAAGTTATTCCATGGAGTTGTTATTCTATCTTGTTTAGAAATAATGGTGTTTAAAGCCGGCAAGGGAGTCAACTTGCATGCTTGTTAAGGAGAGACAATTGCGGTAACTGGTAAACAGTGGGGGAAAAATAATTATAATTTTTTTTTATGTGAACAATGTACAATAACAATAATGATTGTATCAAGCAAAATTTATAAATTAGTTCAAATTTAATTATTAAAATGTCATGAATCGTATAATTATTTTTTTTAATTTAAACAATGTACAATAACAATGAGGATTGCATCTAGCAGAATATATAAATAAGTTCAGATTCTAATCATCAAACATTTGCAAAAAAACCTATAGGCTACTGTGTTTTCGTCGAAAAAAAAATAAAAACAAAATAAAAAAAATAAAAAAAAAAAAAATGTTTGTCCGAGATGGTTTATTTAGTTAGACTGACAACGTAGTCCTTGTTATGCTAAATTGTTACGTACTTCACAATATAAATCACGTAGTAGTTGAGTTGGTCGATTTTGGGTATCTGCCCCAAAAAAGTTAATTGAATGAGAAATTTGAGCTCCATATGGTAATTCGTGTCCTGTATAGTAAAATAAATCCAGTACTGAAATTTCAATCGTACAGGTTAATTGGGTGAGAGGTGATAATTAGAGTAATTAACTTTTTAGACGAAATGTTGATTTAGTTCCTAAAACGGCGAATAGAGGGGGCGGTAAGTGGTTGCTGACTAATATCTCTTTAACAAGAATAACACTACAGTGATGTATTTGATGTAGGCTGAATTTTTTTTTCTTATGTAAGACTGTTTAAATAATATATATGAGACTGAGCGGTCGAATGGTAGATCGTTCAACTGTTGCTCAAAAGTCTCGAGTTCGGATCCCTGGCTCCAGTCTCTAGGAATCCACTGGACCTGCAGAGCTATGATGGGTACCTGTCTCACGTCAGACACACAAATCACACTAAACTAAAAACGAGATCAATCTACGCAAGTCGGGATCAACCGTTGAAAAACAAACGCGCTAGTGACCTCGCGAGAACAAAAACAGCACAGAATCCATAGACGGAATAACTAATGTCCAAACACGGTGCAGATATAAATATGCTGCAGCAAAGCCAGGATCTACACAAAACTGGCTCAACACTTCACATGAGAAAATAACGCACTGATTTAATGAACAATACGATCGTACAGAGAACATAGATTTGCACGTATAGACAGGAAATAAACATTAACGAAGGGGAAACAATACTAAACAATATTTGTACCGTAAACCGATTATCTTACTTATAATACCATGTCAAATAATAGTTTAGAGTCCTTAAAATGTATTTTTTCAGAATTTCTTGACTTAAAGTTTATTGAGCTCTTTGATTATATTTTACTGTTTAATATTTATGATTTTTTTTAAGTTATGATTTTTGTATATCTATCTATATATATATAATTCTCTTCTGGGATCAGTTAGAAAACAAGCTGCAAGCGCGCCTTTGCAGTCCCCTCTCTTCCTCTCTATCACTACCACCCCCACCCCACCCCCACATGATCTGGTGAGCGGTGTTCACTCTGTTTACATTTTACAATCATAGAGACGGGTTTGGTGACGGCTATTAGGGGCAGATAATTTAGTTTGAAACGATTTTAAACTTAGAGGAGGTAACTAAGAGGAGGCTCCTTTCACGTGGCGGGGGGGGGGGGGGGTTGTTGTTTTTAAGCAAATATTTTCAATGGCAGCATTGGTACTGTCGAATTCACAAATTATAAATTACTGAAAAGTAGAAAAAAAACAACTTAATAGCGGCGTATGATACGCAGCGGGTCGGCTCGTATATATATAATCCTCTTCTGGGAGCCGTTAGAAAACAAGCTGCAAGCGCCTCCTTGCAGTCCCCTCTCTTTCTCTCTATCACTATCACTATCACTACCACCCCCACCCCACCCCCACATTGTCTTGTGAGCTGTGGTCACGCTAAATGTTTACAAAGCTAAATGTTTACAAATCGTAGAACCAGGTTTCTATTAGGGGCAGATAATGTAGTTCGATTTTAAACTTACAGGAGGTAACTAAGAAATAACTAAGAGGAGGCTGCTTTCACGGGGGGGGGGGGGGGGGGTCGGGGTTAGGGGAAAGGAGGGGGGTTTAGTGTTTTAAAGCAAATATTTTCAGTGGCAGCATTAGTACTGTCGAATTCACCAATTATGAATTACTGAAAAGTAGAAAATAAAACAACTAAATAGCGGCGTATGATACGCTGCGGGTCGGCTCGTTTGACTTAATAAATAAAACATGCGGAAAAGCCCCCGTGCCTATTATTGTCACTATGATAAACATACGTTTCAGTTCAAACCAGCATCTTAAATACGTAAACAATCGACCTGATATCAATAAGAAATAACCAAGTAAAATGGCAGAAATCGACTTAGCAACATACCGAATCCCTTCAGCAAAACTCGTTATCATGATGTTTACCAAACTCAAGACTCTAAAAAATATTAAAACAAAATTAAGCATGCTATCCCCCACCCCGACGCCCCACCTTTTATCACAAAGAAGAACTGACATGACAAACGGGTTTACCTGTAGATGTACCTGTCGTTATCGTCCTCAAACAGCTCCAGACAGAGCGCCGTGCAGTCAGACGAGGTCAGGTTGACCCGGGAGGTGATGGCGGTGGGGAGGGGGACGGTGAAGGAGAGGATCCAGATGACGGTGATGATGACGCTGAAGGCACGCTTGGAGAGTTTGGGCCGCATGGGGTTCAAGATGGCCACGTAGCGATCCACGCTCATGGCCACCAGCGTGAAGGCGCTCAGGAACACGGCCACAACCTGACAGAAGAAATGGAAGTTTTACAGTAAAGATTTGTATGGGTTTTACAGTAAAGTTTTGTAAGGGTATTACAGTATTTTTTCTAAGGGTTTTACAGTAACTTTTTGTCCAGGTTCGACAGTAAAGTTTTATAAGTAATGTTTTTAAAGTAATATTTGGTTGTTAAGTTTTTAAGACATTGTTTTTTTACAGTAACTTCTGCCAAGGTTTTACTGCAACATTTTAAGAAGGTTGTGTAAACTTGTGTGAGGTTTTACAGAAAAGTTTTATCATGGTTTCTTTGATTTTATCAAGATTTCACAGCATCATTTTAATAAGAGTTTACAGTTTTTATAAGTTTTTACACTGGAGGTTTCCAAGGTTGAACATAAAGTTTTGCTGAAGTTTTACAGTAATATCTTATCATGAATTTACTGTCATTTTTGTTGAGATTTCCTCACAATAACAAATAAAAAGAGTTGGTAAAGGAGAGTGAGACAGCTGATGTGAAAGGGGAGAGAACTTGAAAGATTGCTAATATAAAAAGTATTTTCAACCAGTCTGCATTCATTCAAGAAAAATAAAGTGCTTACTATTCTCGGTTTATGCTTCAATACATTTCCCATTCAGCTATTGACAAGTTATTGACAACCATTCATTTAATTACATACTTGTCTACCTCAGAGCCAAAGGTTTTTTCATAACTCTTTTAGCATCAGCGGGCTGTCCCACAGTGTTGGCAGCCCCGGGGTAGAGTCCCCCTGATTGAGCCGATACGTCTCGACCACTGTCCATCGAAGCAGACGACCCCGTGACCTAGGCCGAAATCTGAGGGTCCGTCCTGCATAATCTACTTTTGTTCTGCCCCCCGCCCCCCGGGGATGTCGGTTAAAAGCCAGGGGAACGTTGGTTAATGGCCGGGATGTAATTAATTAGCCGCAGGAGGGTCTGACGCTGACTATAAGACTGTTGTATCACGTGAGGTGCGGACTTCAAGCTCAAGAGAATATATATATATATATATATATATATATATATATATATATATATATATATATATATATATATATATGTGTGTGTGAATGTGTGTATGTACATATTTATATATACGTGTATATATACATATATTATATCATGTATATATATATATATATATATATATATATATATATATATATATATATATATATATATACATATATATATATATATATATATATATATATATATATATATATATTCATACCTATACATTTATATATGTATATATATATATATATATATATATATATATATATATATATATATATATATATATATATATATATATATATATATATATATGTGTGTGTGTGTGTATGTGTGTATGTACATATTTATATATACGTGTATATATACATATACATATATTATATCATATATATATATATATATATATATATATATATATATATATATATATATATATATATATATATATTCATACCTATACATTTATATATGTATGTATACATATATATATATATATATATATATATATATATATATATATATATATATATATATATATATATTTGTATATAATATATATATATATACATATATTTATATTATATATATATATATATATATATATATATATATATATATATATATATATATTTATATATATATAATATGTGTGTGTATGTGGTTTTTTAAATGTATAGTCTCAAACATGAAATATAATTAATTATTGTTTTTCCATAGTGTCATTTACACCCTTTAGAAAAAAAAACATTAAAATATTTTACTACACTTTTTAGCCACTTTCAACGGTCCCTGATTTAAAGGTCCCCATCGAACGGCCCAAATTTCAATGATCCAGGTACACCATCCAGGTTCTAGCCCACCCGGTGTTTTAATTTAAGTCATACGAAAATAGTTTGAAACCCTCGTTTTGTTACCCCCTCCCCACGTTACACACACACACACACACACACACACACACACACACTCACTCACGTACACACTAATTTCCTCATTCAACTCGCCAACTTTCTCCCCAAAGACGGTGTATTACGTCTTACCGTAATACTAGTCCATCACTTTCAATGTCACAAAATGTTGAGGATCTCCGGAACTATTAGACAGTTTTATTCCATTTTAGACGGAAATACATCATTAACACCACACAGATTACACCTTACAAGATTCTATATTACCATGGAAACCTGGACATTACAGGAAAATGGAAATAACAAACCTATGACATTACAGGAAAGGCAAATAACAAACCTATGACATTAAAGGAAAAGGGAAATAACAAACCTATGACATTACAGGAAAAGGGAAATAACAAACCTATGACATTACAGGAAAAGGGAAATAACAAACCTATGACATTACAGGAAAAGGGAAATAACAAACCTATGACATTACAGGAAAGGGAAATAACAAACCTATGACATTACAGGAAAGGGAAATAACAAACCTATGACATTACAGGAAAGGGAAATAACGTGTTGTCATAAAACGGAGTACACCCAGTGTCTTTCACCCGGTACAATCAATATTCTTCATGTGTTGAGCTGTTTAATGAATTGGAAAAGTATGCCGCTGTTGCTAAGGAAGTCGACCAGATTTTGATTAGAAACTTCGATGTATAAAAATAGAAAAATTAAACAAATGAACAAGAGAGGTAATTGGATAATTCGAAAACTACAGTTCTGTCCCTTTTTGAGAAGCCATGATTTACAAATTGTGATTGATAAAGGGAAGTAAGAATAAGTGTCTGGTCATTTTTTTGTTTGGCGCTAATTGTTTACGGTAACTGCTTACTCTAAGGAAAGAAATTTATTTTTAGATTTATACAGGCTTAATTAAAATTTAATACATAAGCTTTGATAAGCGGCCATGATTGTTAACGTCATAACTAATTTTCATTATCGTAAATATCTTTTAAAACACAACAGTAGATCTTTGAGAACTTCTTCTTCAAAACGGATGGACGATCTGTTTATTTACTAAACCACCTGCTGCTTGTCATCTGGTTTTTTTTTAATTATTCTTGAATAAAATAAAAATTAAACTTCAAAAAAGTTAAGTTAAAACTTAACCATGTATGATAAACTCTATCGAAAGCTTTCTGTTGGTCGATGCTAAGAATTGCTAGTTGTGTGTCTTGCTGCGTGCTATAATGTATGATGTCTCTGATTAAGTGCGTGTGGTTGTGTATGTTTCTACCTGGTATGCTGTACTGCTGATCGGGGTGTATTAATTTAGATATGAAAGGTTCGAGTTTCTTAACTAAAGTTTTTGTCAATATTTTATAATCACTATTGAGTAAAGATATAGATCTGTAATCTATAATTTTTGCCCTGTCCGTATCATGTTTAGGAATAAGAGTTATACATGCACTGTTAAAATCTGTAGCACGATCATGTCTTTTATGTATGTCTTGAAATGTAGTGTGTAAAAGGAGTATTAAATCATTTTTGAAAGTTTTATAAAATTCACTGGTTAGTCCTGGAGCTTTATTTAGTTTTTAGTCCGTCTATCGTCTTGGATATTTCCTCTTTCGTAATTGGTACAGTCATCGTTGTTTAGCCTTGTTATGTAATTAAGGGCATCCTGACAAAAGAGCGCACGACAAAAGAGCGCCGACATAAGAACGCGGACAAAAGAGCACCGACATAAGAGCGCAGACAATATGTTGTATTTTGTATAAATCTGATTCTACTTTATCAATTTTGTCCTGCGATGCATTATGACTGATTAACGTATCTAGTTGTCTGTCTAGTAGTTCTTCCATATTTTTCCTATCTATGTTTATTTGCCTTGCTATTTTGATAGAGTATTCCCGTACTATATATTTAAAATCTTCCCGGTGCTTTAGTGCGTGTGTGTTTGATGCTCTCTGTGTGAATTCTGATGCTAGCTTCCTTATTTCTGCGATGTATTCGCTATTTTCTAGAAGTGTGTTGTTGAGTTTCCAAAATGTATTCTTTGTTCTGCGAGTGGGGTTAATTTGTAGTTGAGCAATAACTATTTTATGGTTTGTAAACGTAAGTGTCTGAGAAAGGTGTTTTACTTTTTTTTACTGAGGAACGCATTTATTTAGATTGTATGCTAGTACAGAAAGCAAAGCAAAAACTTGCGAAAATATTAAAAACCACCAATCAAACAGCAACAACAAATAAAGCAATCACACTTTACTAAACAAAGAACAGAAGACGAAAACAGACTATACCATCGACTATATAGCTCGCCTATGCAGGAATATAGGAATAATATCAGATTTTATTTTAAAGAATACCCTGACATCGAGTTAAAAGAAATATTTCACACAAAGCTAAGACGGGAACTCTCACTTAACTAAAAAGAAACTTGTAGGAAGAAAAATAAAGTATTAATATTAATTAAGACAGTCTCAAGCCAAACATCACTTGAAACGCCCTCGAGTAAATTAACTTTAGAACAGTCCTTAGGTTTCTCAGGTTTTAAAAGGGCACAATCTGATTGGTAGAAAGCTATTCCAGCCTCTCTTTACGCTCTGCTGGCTACGCCTCTGGGATCCCAGGTCAATATCATAGATAAACAACAAATCTGTTAGAGAAAGCTTTGTAATGGCAAGCTTTTAAATGCACACAATAAGACAGTAAATGCAAACTTGCAAAAGTAAATCCACGGAATCTCACAAAATCCAATAAAAATAAATAAAGCGTCAGTCAGCTGTGAAATAAACAAAATCATTGAGATTCTTCCTCTTTGTTCTTAATTTTTAGTGTTGGGAAGGATCGAGCCTTATCTGCCAGAGGGTTTGAACTCGAGACTTTTTTCGAATTTATCAACCATGAGCTTTGCCGACTCGACCATGCTTCCATCACAATTAAGGATTACGTGTCAACTGGTTATGCGCCATTGAGGCCATTGACTCTACTTTTCTTTTTGGATTTGCTTCCATAGCCTTTGTCCAACCAAGAACAAACTACAAGGCAGTAGTTGTTTGATTTTGGAGTTGTCTCTCCTAGAAGAGTGG